ACGTACTGCAGGATGGTTTGCTTCAGCTTCTCCTTCACCTCGGGGGGAAGAGGGTCGGCCGTCATGCTTTTGGAGGCAAAGAGCGGCTTGTGGGCCTCCTGGAAGAGCTCCTTCCCAAGGGCCTCCTCTACGCGGCCGCGCCAGGCCGCCATCTTGGGCCTGCCCTTGAAGACATCGTGACCGGCTGCGACGGGCTGCACAGACAGATAAGAGGCCGCTGAGCAGGACTGGTGGGGTGGCGTGCCATGCCTTCTTGGGAAGAGGTGGGAGTTCAGGGCTGGCGCCAGTGGTGACAGCTGGCTAGCGGCACGCGTAGGGGTGGCAGCCCTTGTGACAGAGGCAGTGTGGTGTAATGGTTAGACTGTGGGGGTGGGATGCAGGAGACCTGGGTTCAAATCTCCCAATCAGCTGGGAAACCCACCAGTTTCAGGCCTTGGGCCAGTCATCCTTTCTCAGCCTCCCCTGTCTTCCAGGCGGAGCGTTAGTTGTGAGGGCAACATCGGGGAGGGGAGGGCCGTGGGGGCCATGTCATCCCTCGTGATGCTCAATGGAGGAAAGAAGGATTGCAAATCTTGGCAGGAAGGCATGCGAGAAGGAAGGGGGCTGGAAGCCGAGCGGCCCCCTCCCTCCCCCTCCCCCAGCTCACCTGCATGAGTTCCACAATGGCCACCAGGTCTGCCAGGGAGATGTCGCGGCCAGCGATGAACGGCCGGTCCTGGAGGAATTTCTCTTCAAAGAGCTTCAGGACCCCATCCAGCTTCCGAGTGTGTTCTTCCAGCTTTTCCGGTGGAAGGGGGTGGCCCAGGAAGAGGGGTGCTAACACCTGCCCCAGGGGGAAAGGGCGAGGGAGGAGGACAGAGGGAGCCTTTGAACGGCCTATGGCATTTTTCTGGCTCCCATCACTCATGCCAAGAGAGAGCAGGGACTCTGCCTGGTTTTCTTTCTTTCTTTCGTCCCAGACTCTGTGCTCAGGACCTCCAAACCAGCTGGACCTCCTGCAACCACCCCAAATCTGACCACCTGCTATGGCAGCTGGCCACGACAGCATGGTAAGTGGTGGCCCAGCCTGGGCAGGCCTGCCTGGTGCCCTGAGGAGGACACCTGGCCTAAGTGTCTCACCTCTTTCCCAGGATGGCTGCAATTAGCATTCTTAACTTAGAACAGCCCTGCTTTCTTGCTGTCTCTTTCACGTACCTGTTTATAATTAATGCATCTGCCAGTCTGTGAGCCTAGTTTTCTCTCTTCCTTTTTTTAATGTTGTATTTTTGTTGGTTTTAGTTAGTACTTTGCTAACTAACTTAGAACCATTCATTTATGCTGAATATGCAAGATATAAATTAAGCTGGCAAACTAACTAGGCCGATCACTGATGACAGGTGGGCTTTCAGGGGGTCCATGTACCTGCACACCCTTCCAGCCTGCAACCGCCTGTCCACTTGCAGAAAGCAGGGTGGTTTCAGCAGGCATCTCGCCCCTTGGGCAAAGGAGCCGGGCTAGAAAGGCCCCTTTGCCCTGCTCCTTCCCTTTGCTCACCTGGGCCAGGTAAACCTTGCTGCCTGCCATGCGGGTGTCCATGTGCTGCCAAGAGAGGTACTCGTCCACACGGGCTCGTTTCTGTAGGTCCGAGGGATACCAGTGGTCGGGGGTCTGGAACTTCCTCGTTAAGTACAGGAGGATGGCGATGCTGTTCAGGGAAGGGGGGGAAGCACAGGCGGTGAGCAAGGTGACGCAGGGGCTCTTTGGCTGGTTTCCTAAGGGGGGGAGACACCTCCGGGCACATGCGCGTGCGCACACACACACGGATCGCTGGGATTCTCTCACGGCACATGAGAACAGGGAAGGTATTGGCCCAGCTCTAGAAATCCAGCAGAAACTTCAACCGCCACCTCCCCATTTGAGCCTGTTTGAGTCCTCAGAGCTTTGATGGAGGCATCTTTGCTGAGAGGACAGGAAGAGAGGGCCTTCTTGATGGCTCCTCCTCCTGCACTGTGGAACTCCTTGCCACTGCCAGCTGGGATGCCCCACCCCCCACCCCTTTTTCAGACACCCGCAGCCAAAGACCTTTCTCTTTGGGCCTTCTGTGATCCACAGGTTGCTGAGGCAGGAGGGGATGTGTCACATTTTATTTCTTTCGATCTCTTTGTGGTTCTAAACTGTTTGCCTTTGGTGCATGTTTCAATGCAGTGGCTGAAATCAAGCCGTAAGGTGCAAGTCGAGTAAGTCCACTGAATCGGTGGGGATTTGGTGAGTCAGCTCCTCCGCACATTCCACTGACTCAATGCACCTACTCAAGCTGCAACTTGCCCCTGGATTTCAGCCACAAATTTACTTCATTTTATTTTAATGTAGTCGTTACTTAATACAGCCATTTACTTAGTTGCCTTTTAAGGCAAAACAAAGCTTCTCAGCCTTCACAGGTGCCATCCCTCTTTTTGTTGAAGACTGACTGATTTAAAAGTAGTTTAACTTTTCAGAGTTTAAAAACAAAACCTTGACAGGGTTGTCTTGCCCAAGAAAAGTCAATATAACAAAGTTTTTTTTTTTTAAAGTTAATGAATGGCAGTGTTAATACCAAGACACACATGTTGTCCATAAAATCCAGGGTGTCATTGCAAGGAGCGACCTTGGCTTAAAAGCATTTGCTAAGACACAACCCAGGAAGAGTCCCAAAGACCTGCAGTTTAGATGGACCTCATGAGTAAAGGGATGGAACGAGGAGTCAGAAAATTCCAGTCTAAGCTGCATGCAAGAAGTCTTCCCCTCACTCACTCCTTCTTGGCTCCCTTGCAATCACTGCAAACGTTATAGAATAATTTGCACGTGAAATCCTGGAAAACGAACCTGAAGCTGCAAAGGGGAGAAAACAGAGACCGTGGAGGTCCTACCGGGGCCCTCTTGGATCAGGATCAGGACCGGGCACCTCTGGTCCAAGGCAGAGACACAGACTTCTTGGTGTGGTAGTGGTGGGGGGGTTGCGTTGCTCCCCCCTGGCACCAGACACCCTTCGGGGATACAGTATACATGTGTGTGTGTGTGTGTGTCTCTGGGGAGCCTGCCCCTCAGCCGCCCAGCAACAGCCTGGTCCTTACCTCTCGGCTAAGGTGAAGTCGCCATCTTTCAGGGCAGGCACTCTCCGCAAGGGGTTCACTTTGCTAAACTCTTCCCCCTGGTGTTGCCCTGAAAAGATTGAGAAAAGGAGACCCAGGTGGGCTCTGAAATCCCTCTAGAAAGGACATTTGCTCCACATTTACACAGTAAGCAAAACGGCAGTGTTAACGGAGCACGAGACCCTGCCTGGAAATGAGGCCATGTTGGCGCTTTTGGTCAAAAAGTTTTGAATCAGGAGTTTGGTGGTTCCTTTTATTCGCAGAGCACAGGGCAGGAGAGAGTTTCTATGGTCAAAGGGAGACTCTGAACCCAGCTCTCCCATGTCGTCCTCCAACACGCCACCCATCTGCACCACACCCATCCCTCCCTGCCTCCCAGGGAAGGAGGGCAAAGGAGAGGGGGCAGGGGAAACGGATCACCCCCTCCCACTTCAGCCTCTCCCTTCGAGGCGCTGAGTGACCCCCACCCACCCCCAGGCTCCCCTTCTAGCCACTCAGTCAACAGTGCAGGTCAAAAACAATCCAGGGACCGAAGACTGAGCTCTAAAGGCACCTCTTAATCTCCGCTCCTTCCTGCAGACTGAGAGGGAACTCAGGGTCCATT